GGACGCCCCGGTCCTGGCCGCAGACTTGGGAATTAAGTCGCTGGTAGGCAGCGCAAACCGACGCGTCACCTCGCCCGAGCAGAACGCGCGAAGAGGGGACAATCATGAGAGAAGAGTTTGCAATCGGTCGTCTTTTCGCTTACCCGACGCTCGCCGGCGTCTGTACCCGACCCGACCCGACGGAGACTCTGTCGGGCAAGTCGGTTGAGCCGGGCAGCCTCCGAATCACCGACCCTTAGCCGAGCTTCCGCACGCTCTTCGCACGCAGACCCTCGCTCGGCTGGACCAGCAGGGCGAGAGGTGAGGTTGCGGGGACAGGTGACGCCTAGTGTGGCTGGGCGTGCCGAGCGAGTCAGACTCGTCTTCATCGACGGACGCCGAGTGTGACGTGAGAGACAAAGACAGCTGCTGGCTTCTGAGTGCTGTCTCTCTCTCTTACGCTACGAGCGTCGGGTGAGCGCAGATACTCTACCCGACCGATTGCAAACTCTGCATGAGAGACGTCCATGTCAGAGTCAGGAACGCACTTAACATTATTTCTGACATGCAGGAATCAAGAGGTAACAGTGAACAAGGCGTTCTACTTATGCGCAGTAGCGCGGCGGGCGGTGCCGCCAGCGGCGCTGGCAGGCAGGATTTCGACGCACCCTCCGCCGCGTCGTGCGGCTCGTGCTCTGCCAGTTTTGAGCGGAGGACAAAAAGAAAGGCATCTTCAGAAGCTGTGAACCTTTGTGGACACGATGGAAACAACCGGAAGTGTGTCCGACTTTCACAGCGGGCGCAAATCGCCGCATAAACTGGCAAAGCGGGATCCGCGTGGCTGAAAGCTTCTTCTCCAGTGCGCCCTTCTCTCATGCTCCGATACAAGAACAAAGAAGTCGGCGTAGGACGCAGCACAGAGTGGGGCGGATCGTTGCGTTAGGTTATTCTACTCAGGGCGATTCAAAGATTTCATTTCAGTGGTGCCTTGTCAGAGGACTGGGAACGCGTAGAGACTAGTACAGTTGAGGGTGGAACACCACATGGAAGCCACAACT